CATTTTCAAGAACTTATCGATGTGAGTCGCTCGTTTCAGAAGAAAAATCCAACCTTCCAGCTGATGGCAGCGTCTTAACTGTGAATGTTTTGTGTTTTCTTTCCTCCTCTTTGACAATAAAATTAATAATTCTAAGGAGGTCACGTTAGAAAACTTCTTCCACCATTTTCAACCATCACCTGATGAATTTCACTGAACACTGCAATAACAACAAAATAATTCTGTTGATTGTTTTAGTAGATTTTACAGGGGGAAAAAAAAGCAGATTAAAAATTCTTTGATTCCAGCTTCTTAAATATGAATATTTCTGGTTTCTTTCCTGCTTTATGTCGGCAAATTGAATATATTTGGACAAAAACAAGACATTTGAGAAAGTTTTTAAGTAAAAAAGTCAAAATTCTTTGACTTCAGACAGCAAAATGAGAATATTTACTGTTTTTTGTGACGATAAAGTGAATGTTTTTAGGGGTTTGGACTAAATACCAAGATATTTAAGTACGTTTTTGAGTAAAAAAAATTAAAATTCATTGACTTCAGATGGTGAAATGAACACATTTACTGTTTTTTTCACCATCTGAAGTCAATGAATCAATGAAGCCACCTGTTTTGTGATGCTAAATACATACTTTGGAGGGTTTAGGACTAAAAAAAAAAAAAGGGGGATCTGAATAAGTTTTTTAGTGAAAAAGTCAAAATTCTTTGACTTCAGATGGTGAAATGAGAATATTTACAGTTTTTTCCACCTGCTTTGTGATGGTAAATACAAATGTTTGGGGGGTTTGGCCTAAATGACAAGACATCTGAGAAAGTTTTTAAGTAAAAAAAACTTTAAATGCTTCGACTTCAGATGGTGAAATGAGAATTTACTGTTTTTTTGTGTGTGTTTTGTGACAGTAAAGTGAATATTTTAAGGGGATTTGGGTGGTTTAGGACATTTTCCAGAACAAACCACCGATGAAAACCTTCACCGTGGATGACAACAGCCTGTTGCAGCCTTTCTGTCGTCGGACGTCTCAAACCTGCAGCGTTCCTTCGCTCTGTAGGATCACAGAACCCAGACGACACTTGTGCTTCCTGCAGCCGACTGACGAGCACAGCTGCAGATCAAGCGGCTCTCAGATCAGACATCAGAGCGCCTGGACACTCACCCTGGCCTTGAAGTCCACGGCGGCGCCTCTGTTGAGCAGCAGCGTGGCCACGTTGATGTTCCCGTAGTGAGCGGCGATGTGCAGCGGAGTGAAGCCGCTCTGAGAGACACCACAGAAGAAGAAGAAGAAGAGACGCAAGCCGTTAAAACACACGAGAGAGGAGAGGCTGCCTCGGTACGAGCCGCGAGCAAAGCATTATGGGAAGCAGAGCCGAGCAGAGGTCACATGCTTCAAACTCTGATGAACAAAAACCCGCTCAGAGGCCACTGTGATGAATGTGATGCAGTCAGTGTTCCTCCTTCATGAGGCGTGGAAGGTCACCTTCAGCTGTTTCTGAGTTTTACACGATTACATTCGACAGACATGTTTGTAATATTTAATTATCTTTAATATAAATGAGCACAGCAGCTGCAGCTTTAAAACAAGTTGTATAATAAATAAAAATCTAGTCTTAATACTTGAATTAATGAGCTAAGTTTAAAAAAAAATAAAAGAAAAATGAGCAAAATTAAGTAGTAATTAAATTTGCATTCTGACTAATGTTGTATGTTTTTAATATTTAATTAGTCGGGTCAACTTATATAATGAATAATAATGATGTAGTGGCTTAGTCTCAATATTTTAATTAAATGTATAATTATGTAAGGTCTTAAGAAATAATAATAATTCTTTTTACAAATGTATTTAAAAAGTTAAAATACAACAATATAATATTAATAATAATAAAATTATAATAATTATTATATTTGAGCTTGTTTTATAAATTTGTCAAATATAATAATATGTATATTCTGGGGTTTTAAATGTTCTATTATTTACACTAAATAATGCTTTATATTTAATCAGGTAAATCTGTGTTATCTATAATATTGTAGAATCTTAACCTTAATACTGAAACTTTTAAAGTGAATTTATACAATAAATAATGTTTTAGGGTTTTAATATTTAAATTAGTCTGCTAAACTTGCAGAAAATATAATACTGTGATATTTAAACTTGTTTGTAAATTTCTATTATAACTGATATTGTACGGTTTTAACCCGAACATGAAGTTAGTCGGGTGAAGATGTTTAGTAAATAATACTGCATGATTTTAACTTTGATATGTCGCATTAAGTTGAATTTAATTCTGTTGTCCAAACCATGTTGTCTCAGTGTCTGTTGGTTAAAAGGTGATGTTGGAAAACAACTGAATTAAATTAACATCTCTCTGACAAGATTAATATATTTGTGGAGGTGTGACGATTAACTATATATTGGATTACAGCACATTTTTGCATAGTAATAATAATAATAATAATAATAATAATAATAACAACAAAGTGCACACGTCCACTTTGTCAGTGTTTAATGTTCAGCTGGAGTGCAGCACGACGTCACACTGTTCAGGTCTCTGGAGGATAAAATCACAAACATCAGGAGCTGAAGCTGCTGCTGAGTGAAGAACATGCAGAAATCTGTAAGAACAAACGCTCTGACTTCAGCTGTGTGAGGAGCTTCCATCTGACGGGACACCAGAAGCAGACGTGCAGGTGAGCATGCATGAAGTTTAGTCAAGAGGGAAACACGTAGTAAAGAAACCAGCAGCTCAACAGTCTGAACTAAGGGAACAAATACTGACTGGTCATTTAAAAACCTTCATTCTAAACACAACGTTCTCGGCTCATTAATCTCACAAACACTGTAAGCGGAGTCACATTAAAGCTGCTCAAGGGAATCTAGACGAGAAGAACCAGAACCAGAAGCTCTGCTGTGAATAAAACTGCCTGCAGGTCGAAGCATCACATTCGCTGTTTGATTCGTTATCTGGTTAACGTTGGTTAAAAAAAACAAAAACAAACGCACAACAGCACAGAATCGTTTGTGACGACAAAGACGGCGACGACGCAGAACGATGAGGCTTCCAGAAGCTCAGCATGCAGAACGTGTTCTGCTCAGAACGCTAAAACCACTCGGTTCATTCATTCAGTTAAACCGCTGATCAAAGCAACGCTGTGGAAAACACACACATTTTCTTTCTTGTCGAGAGTTAGAGGAGAAAACTGACACTGTTAAATATATTTACAGCATTGAACTGTTCCCTTGACTTGATCTCTACCTCTGTTTATTGTTACTATCAATATCAACAACAATATATAATAATAATAATAATAATAATAATAATAATAATAATAATATAAATAATACCAATAATAATAATAACATAAATAATACCAATAATAATAACAATGATAACAATAATAACACCCTTGTTTTCTTGGTTTTAAAAACAAAAAAAAAATTCTACCATTGTATTATTATTATTATTATCTTTAACCTTGTTTTTATGGTTTTAAAAACTTTATTTTATCTAACAATAATATTAACATTGCCATTGTTTTTACAGTTTTAAAGCTTAAAAAAAAGAATTCTACTTATTTTATTTTTCATAATAATAATGATAATGACAATAAAAGCAACATCCTTGTTTTTCCAGGTTTCACAACTTGTTTTTCTTTTTCTTTAATTAACGTGGTGTTTCTATTATTTTATGTGGTGGTTTGTGATTCTCGTGGATCTTTTATCGTCTGTGACTCTTGTTTCTTTATTAATTTGTGCTTCTCTGGTCTTTTCTCTTTAAGGTTTTATAAGTGGCTACGTACATAAATGTAATATTCACTTAAATGTTTAAACTTTGGGCCAGAAACGTGCACAATTACATCAAAAAAACAAAAACGATTAGAAACTGAAGTACCAGAGTAAACGTTCCCGAGTCAATAACTGCTAGAAACGGCTTTTGTGGGTAAATTGTGCAGAAGAAGCGACAAACTGCTGCAGCAAAGCAAAGTCGATGCAGGTTTAAAGAAACAGGCGGCAAAAGCATTCATGCCAGCATTTAGCATCATGCTAGCAGACAGAAGGCTTTGCAGCGGTGAGCATGAGTGAACAATGAAGAGAAGGAGGAGAGGAAGGAGANGTTTTAACCCGAACATGAAGTTAGTCAGGTGAAGATGTTTAGTAAATAATGCTGCATGGTTTTAACTTTGATATGTCGCATTAAGTTGAATTTAATCCTGTTTCTCTGTTAGAAACCATGTTGTCTCAGTGTCTGTTGGTTAAAAGGTGATGTTGGAAAACAACTGAATTAAATTAATATCTCTCTGACAAGATTAATATATTTGTGGAGGTGTGACGATTAACTATATATTGGATTACAGCACATTTTTGCAGTGTTATAATAATAATAATAATAATAATAATAATAACAACAAAGTGTACACGTCTACTTTGTCAGTGTTTAATGTTCAGCTGGAGTGCAGCACGACGTCACACTGTTCAGGTCTCTGGAGGATAAAATCACAAACATCAGGAGCTGAAGCTGCTGCTGAGTGAAGAACATGCAGAAATCTGTAAGAACAAACGCTCTGACTTCAGCTGTGTGAGGAGCTTCTACCTGACGGGACACCAGAAGCAGACGTGCAGGTGAGCATGCATGAAGTTTAGTCAAGAGGGAAACACGTAGTGAAGAAACCAGCAGCTCAACAGTCTGAACTAACGCAACAAATACTGACTAGTCATTTAAAAACGTTCATTCTAAACACAACGTTCTCGGCTCATTAATCTCACAAACACTGTAAGCGGAGTCACATTAAAGCTGCTGAAGGGAATCTAGAAGAGAAGAACCAGAACCAGAAGTTCTGCTGTGAATAAAACTGCCTGAAGCATCACATTCGCTGTTTGACTCGTTATCTGGTTAACGTTGGTTAAAAAAAACAAAACAAACGCACAACAGCACAGAATCGTTTGTGACGACAAAGACGGCGACGACGCAGAACGATGAGGCTTCCAGAAGCTCAGCATGCAGAACGTGTTCTGCTCAGAACGCTAAAACCACTCGGTTCATTCATTCAGTTAAACCGCTGATCAAAGCAACGCTGTGGAAAACACACACATTTTCTTTCTTGTCGAGAGTTAGAGGAGAAAACTGACACTGTTAAATATATTTACAGCATTGAACTGTTCCTTTGACTTGATCTCTACCTCTGTTTATTGTTACTATCAATATCAACAACAATA